CATGCATTTTTGCCACTGCTTTTGTTGCAGCTTTTTTTTTTTTTTTAACATTCTCCTTGCCTCCAGTTATAAAGATGACAAGGTAGAGTTGCACCTTACAGATTAACTGAATCAGAGCTGCAGGAGCTTTTGTCAGCAACAGTTCACTGGGTTAGCTACCTACCCCTCTTCAATTATACAGGTAGATTTCCTTGACTGCAAAGTTAATTTAAATCAGAAAATATGTATGAAGAGGGAGATGCCAGGTAAAAACCCAACTGATCTATGGAAATCAATTGTTTTTACATCCACAAAAGGATGCAGGCACTGTGACGTTGAACATCTAGGCTCCCTACACAAGAAGTGTCGTTAAATGCTTCAGAATGGGATTCACACAACATTTAGGTGAGAAATACATATTCATTTTCGCAAATCCTACTAGCCACCTATCTACATCTTTAAGTGCCTGAACACTTCTGGGGCATACTACCAACAAGACTTTATTCGTAATTATTTTAAAACTTCCTGTATTTCTCTTATAACCCGCACAGTGCTTTTCTGGCTTCAGAGGAATACAGTTTGAGAAGTGCAAGTAAGAGAGAAATGTGCAAACAATAATCAGTGAAAAAGTACATGTTCATATGGGTTCCAGGCAAATTTGACATTAACTTTATCTATTCCTATCACTCTATGTAAATCCAAAATGATAATATGACTAAAGGATCTCTTGAGGTCCTTTCCAGACTTACTTCTCTATGATTACTATAACAGGGGAAGAGCAAATTCCTCCAATAGTTTGTGTTGCCCAACTCTCATAAATTTGCCAAAACAGCATAAAACAGATGGATAGAATGTCACAGTGGTCCTAAAGATCTTACCACACTGTATTTTCTGCACTTCCAAGCTTTCCATTTTATGTTGTGTTCTCGTTCTGACCCTACAACTAGAAAAGTGATTTTCTTAACATTTCTGGTCAGCAATGTTCACAACACACTCACGGAGCGCAGACTGAAAACACACCGTGCCGGTTTTCATAAAATACACCTCTTCTGGCTGATTTGATGCTATTTGCAAATCTAATTTAATTTCAAACTACATTCAGTTGCTGCCTGTGTTAAGGGCAGAGGGTTGGACTTGATGATCTGTTCAGGCCCCTTCTGACCGTAGAAACTATTAAGTTAATGTGTGCTCAAGATTTGCTGTGGAAATATAATGCTTGTTGCAGCACATGGGCACGGTACCCGGCCTCCATGGGAAGTTACTAGACGTGCACCTCCTGGGCTGCCACCTGGGAAGAAATCCCACTTGATCTGCACCACAAAATGCAACCCACAGTTGCTGTCCTGGACCAGAGGGACAGATGTCCAGCTTCTGCTTCCTCTGTGCAAACTCCCCCTCCCCCACAAAGTGTACTTCCTACCTACAGGGACTTTT